TCACTAATTAGGCGTGCACCCAAAAAATTGGAAGATTTGAACCAAAAATGAAGGCAGGCCCCCCCCCCCCTACATCAAATGTGCCAACTCCACCATCCCCTTTTCTAAAAACGCGTTTCGGCTCATTTAGATTTTTTTTTTTTTTTGCCAGTTAAAAATTGTATTTATTCATTAATTTCTCTAAATATGTTTAAAACTTTTTTTAAACTGAATTTAACGACAGACACCAAAAATCAGGGAAGGTTTTTCAAAATAATTTATTCTGGTACATAAACTTTAGTTTAGTCCAGAAGCATCTTTGTAAGTAATTACACATTTCATTAATGAATGGTACCTTAAACTATCAACGTCATGAAAACAACCGAACAATCCCTTTATTAAAATTTATTTTAATTGATTTTGATGATTATAAGGAAAAGTTAGATTTTGATAAGGATCAAGTTTTTGTTAATTGTAAAAATTTGATAAAAAAATACAGGTTTTGAAGAAATATGTTCACATTTCTTGTTGACACGATAAATATTTTGATAATTTAAATCAAATCTGAAGGCAATCTAAAATTCAATCTACGGCCGGGGCCGGTGTTTAGCATCAGTTCATCCCCCAATATTTGTAACAATTTAAACACTAAGGTAGACATTAAAGATAGCGATTAAACACTTGCCGAAGTTTATCTTTGTATTTTGAATTTGATTGGAAAAACACTAAAAAAAAAGTATCAATGAATAGATTTAATACTTAAAGGAAGACGATATTTCAAAGTCAATATCTGTTTTTGTTTTCCCCCAACAATAAAGGCGCATTTAATACTGTAATTTTTTAATTTTCAATGTTTAAACATATTATAGTGTTTAATTGTGTAAAAATGATAAAAGCATAAAAGAAAGAATAAACACTATCGGGGGGNGCAACGCATAAAAGATTCATGCGCTAAATTTTGTATGTTTGCTGCAGAGCATGGATAAACTGGTGGAGGAGTACCAGACTAAGGTGAAGAGTATAAAGATGTTGGATGATGATCTGGAGAAGGTTGATATTGAGCTTAGTAATGCTAAATCAAGAAATCACTACCAAAACCTAGAGCTGGAGAATCAGAAGGCTGAAAAGAAGAGTTTGATTCAGAAGGTGAACTTTGGGATATTAAAATAATAAATAAGATCATTTTACATTTTTGAAAATTCACATTTTTCTAAAACATACACTTAATCATTAATTCTGAGTTCCTCAGAGAATATTTTTTCTAACCTTCACCTTTATTCCACATATTCCACTCACCAATTTGCAAGTATTTTAATTCTTATGACGTTTCAACAAATCTCAAATTTGCAATTCTAACCTTGACAGGGTCTACTGAATCAATGGAATAGAGTTTTTTTTCCCGAAAAAATCACATTTTCTAATCCTTATTTCTTTTCAACCTGATGATGGTGTAAAAGCTGTTATTTTAAACTTTATAAATTATTTGATATAACATATTCATACTTTGAAATATCACAGGTCTTAGGGTTGCACAGATAAAGGGATTAGAAAATCAGAGTTTGTGAGGCAAAGACTAAATAGATTTATTCAAACAATCTAGTGGCAGCGATATCCCTCTCTGCTGACCTGCAGCAATGTTTGCACTCCTTGGAGCCTCCGCTTGTCTGTATTCAGTGAGAACCAGAAAACAATGGAATAGGAGGATGACATTATAGAAATATTTAAGCGTATTTGATGTATTTGTGTCTCATGCTCATAGGACTTTATAAAGATATAACTTGATTTTTCAAAGTCATCTTTCTGTTTCAGAGTTTTCTGGTTATCATTGTATTTTGGTTTCAAACTTGGATTGGGTATTTAAAATATCGATTTTATAAGTTAACTCATTGTTTTAGATTCAAGTTCAGGAGAATATAAACTCCGGTAAATCTGCACCCGTCTCAAACAAACCCAGGTAGTTTTAGTGAATTAATTCAAATTTTAATTTAATTGAAATATGAACGGTTTGTTTGGAATAACGCAACTAAGTTTATTTATTCTGGCTCTGCGATCTTAGGCAACGTTTAGTCTTTTTCTCCTTGCAGACGCATCAGATTGAAGTTAAATTAGTATCGATCGAATCCAATTTTTTAGGATTTCGCATGACCCCCCCCCCCTGTTTATTTTTCGCGAACACTCTCGTTAAGTATTCATTTTAAGGTTTCAACCCCGAAAAATGATGTCAGACGATGAGGAGTTTATTCCAAGGAGAATAAAGGTGCAGAGAACTCCTTCAGTTCAACGTACTCAAGGACTCTTCAAGAAGGGACAAACCACTCCAAGACAAGGTTCGATCAACTCCAGACAGGTTCCAGGTACTCCAAGAAACCCCACAACCTTGAGACAGGTTTCAAGTACTCCTAGGGCAGAAACAAACATTTCAAAACAGGTTCCGGCTACTCCTGGCAAGTTCATAAGTCCGCCATATGCGGGTTTGAGGGTCTCATCAGAGAACAGGTAACCGATAACGATCATTTTTAAAAATTTCAAAAATCAAAAATTTTGTAATGTATTTTGTTTTTAAAGTTGCTGTGGACAGACAAGCAATAAATTGACTAACTTTGTTTTTCTTCATAAGTTTTTAACATAAAGAGTCAGTCCCCTGTACTTTTAACAATATCTTTATCAATAAAGAAATTTGATTATAAGAAGAAAAAAAAAACAATCTAGAAATTGCATATCTATAAAAGGAAGTATTTCTATTGCTTGCTGATATATTACTGTGTAGAGATAGAACGAGGAAGGAAGATGGAAGGATGAAAGTAGACAACCCGGAGAAAAATAAAGAACCCAGAACCCCGGTAAATATAATAAGAATCTGAAACCCAATGGCATAATAATTATCTTGGACAAATTATTTTTCCTAAATATGAGGAATTCCAAAACTTCAAACTTGAATGTGAGTGAGTTTTTGCCACAAACTCAAATTTTCTAATCCCTATATCTGTGCAATATAATGGTGTAAACCTTTGATATTTCAAACTTCGACTTTTTGTTATAACATAATTCGAGTCACGGAAGTTCGTAGTAAGATTTTGACTCCACTGGAGACCACCAGAGGGAATTCTTTTTCACTGGAGGTGTTTGAAAAAAGGCTTTTTACATTTCAAAATTTTACGCAGGGTGATTTACATTCCACTGGAGGGATTCAGATGTCCTTCCTGGGGGTTTATAATTCCACTGGAGGGATGCAGTTATCCTTCCCAGGGGTTTATAATTCCACAGGAGGGATTCAGATATCTTTCCTAGGGGTTTATAATTCCACTGGAGAGATTCAGATATCCTTCCTGGGGGTTTATAATTCCACTGGAGGGATTCAGATATCCTTCCAAGGGGTTTATGATTCCACTGGAGGGATTCAGATATCCTTCCTGGGGGTTTATAATTCCACTGGAGGGATTCAGATATCCTTCCTGGGGGTTTATAACTCCACTGGAGGGATTCAGTTATCCTTCCAAGGGGTTTATAATTCCACTGGAGGGATTCAGGTATCCTTCAAAGGGGTTTATAAATCCACTGGAGGGATTCAGTTATCCTTCCTGGGGGTTTATAATTCCACTGGAGGGATGCAATTATCCTTCCAAGGGGTTTATAATTCCAGTGGAGGAATTCAGATATCCTTCCAAGGGGTTTATAAATCCACTGGAGGGATTCAGATATCCTTCCTGGGGGTTTGTAATTCCACTGGAGGACTTCAGTTATCCTTCTTGGGGGGTTATAATTCCACTGGAGGGATTCAGTTATCCTTCCTGGGGGTTTATAATTCCAATGGAGGGATTCAGTTATCCTTCCAAGGGGTTTATCATTCCACTGGAGGGATTCAGTTATCCTTCCAAGGGGTTTATAATTCCACTGGAGGGATTCAGAAATCCTTCCTGGGGGTTTATAATTCCACTGGAGGGATGCAGTTATCCTTCCAAGGGGTTTATAATTCCACTGGAGGAATTCAGATATCCTTCCTAGGGGTTTATAAAATCTGAATCCCTCCAGTGGAATTATAAATACCCTTTGAAAGATAACTGAATCCCTCCAGTGAAGTTTATAAACCCCCAGGAAGTATATCTGAATCACTCCAGTGGAATTATAAACCCCTGGGAAGGATAACTGAATCCCTCCAGTGGAATTATAAACCCCAAGGAAGGATATCTGAATCCCTCCAGTGGAATTATAAACCCCTTGGAAGGATAACTTAATCCCTCCAGTGGAATTATAAACCCCTTGGAAGGATAACTGAATCCCTCCAGTGGAGTTTTAAACCCCTATAGGATGGATATCTGAATCCCTCCAGTGGAGTTATAAACCCCCAGGAAGGATATCTGAATCCCTCCAGTGGAATTATAAACCCCTAGGAAGGATATCTGAATCCCTCCAGTGGAATGTAAAACACCCTGCGTAAAGTTTTAAATTGTAAAAAGCATTTTTTGAAACCCCTCCAGTGAAAATAAAATCCCTCCGGTGGTCTCCAGTAGAATCGAAATCTTACTACGAATTTCTTTGAGTCACATAATTCATAGTTTGAATTATCAAAGGTCTGCGACATGATGTTGTGTAGGATATAAGTGTTCGAAAATCAGTGTTTGTGGCAAAACTCAGTTCCTTTGCTACTAGAATGATTGAAAGCTCTAGGGCCGGTTAAACACCATTCGAACAGAAAAAAAAGTAGATACAAAAATATTCAAGATCGTCAATATTGGACCAAAATTGAGGCTTCAGCTACAACTATTGTTGTTATGGGGGGGAACCTATATATATTCTGATAAACACAGGGTTACCGTTAATCTATAAAAAGACGACTGGAATTTTTTAACCATGATGAAAGGTTTAGGATTTTCTGCATTAAGAAAATTTTTTTTTATTGTTTTAAAAGAGGATGGTACAAAGATTAACAAAAAAGTATATAACTGCAGGAAACTAAGAAACAGGACGGAATAAATCCTGTACAGTCGTCCTGAAACCTTGCCTTTATGAGGTAACCCTGTATATTGTAACAAGAAATTTGATTCCTTTTTTTAACATTTATTTTAAATTTAGGTTTTTCTCTGATTTGTATCTTCTTTTTAGCTGATCATGCATCTGTTTTCTGTTCCTCTCTTTGAGATCTACACATTCTGATTCCTTGTAGAATATATTTGACACATATGTATGCTTTTCTTTCTCCCTAATATTACGCATATTATTATTTGTGTTCCGTACAGAGGTGTCAAATTTCTCTTACAAGTTATTTTGTGGATGGATGATGAAGCTTTTTCATTCATACTTATTATATATATTCTTAAAGGTTGGAAAAATAAAAGTCAATGCTAAGCAGGGGTTGAAAATTCTAAGGATATCCATTGTCAGTAATCTGCTATTATTATGACAAATGGGATAAGAAAGGTTAGGAAAGGAGTGGATATTTTCGACAAAAGAATTCTTGATTCTTGCAAGTTCATCTCGGACAGTACTTCAGAATATGGCTTCGTCTACAGCTATCTTTTCCTTGCACATGGCAGAGTATAAACCAGTATCATAGTGCATGGTGCACAACCTATCAGGATTCTACTTTACATGTTTTCATTTTCCTTGCACATGGCAGAGTATAAACCGGTATCATAGTGCATGGTGCACAACCTATCAGGATTCTACTTTATATGGCAGAGTATAAACCGGTATCATAGTGCATGGTGCACAACCTATCAGGATTCTACTTTATATGTTTTCATTTTCCTTGTTTCTGGTAAGATGGGAGGGGGGAGAGAAGAATAGAGAAACCTCTCCTTTTCTACACTATAATTTTCTTTTTTTTTGAAGTAGGGTGTACTGTGATGTTTTATTCCACACAGGGTTCTGCTCAGCTGCAAGAAACGAGAAAGTTGTACAAGAATCTGACTGTGCTGAAGCTCCTTTGAAGCTTACACATAGAACCAGATTCAATCAAAAGAATTAACGTCTCTCCTACGGGTTTGGGTACTTAATAACAGCTAACCAGGCTTATGATTAAGGAGTATATATCAAGCTATCATTAGTAAAATCTGGATCCAGCTAGATAAAAAAAACCTCCATTCTCCAGGTTAATACAGCATTATAGGATGAATTCAGGTCTTTAATGTTACGTGTAGTTTCTTTTTTTTTCGTTTCCATCTGTGTGCTCTGTGCAGGGGTCTTTTAAAATAAAGTTTCATTAATTTGCGATTTTCTCTCTCACCCTGTATCTCTGAATACTTTAAGAAGCACCTAGCAAGACCTAGTTATTGCTTCTCTGAAAATGTACACTGAATTTGATTCCTTTAATTTGAAAATTTACTAATTAACAATTTAGGATAATGTTGGTGGAGATAAATTCACTGGATTCAAAAAACCCTTGTGAGACCTATCTCAGCTCGACAGAAGTACCTCAACAATATATTTTCCTCGGATGAAGAAAGCGCCTAATTTTATACGTTTAAACGCTTACCAATATATTTGTACATTTTGCTGGAAAAAAAATCATAACAATGAATTCTTATTGAACAAAAACTTGTATTGTTTATTAATGTCGTACTTATGTTTTTTCTTGTTAATTGGTGTACAGTTTAGTTACAACTCAAAATCAAATGTGAAACCAGTGAAATATTTTATGTGATTTTTTAATTTGAACTTTTTTGAAATTGTTATTAAGTATAATGAATTTGATTAATGTATTATGATTTGATTGGTATTATAAATTCTATTGTGTTCATTATTTTTTTTAGAAAAATAAGCATGTCAATGATGATCATAATATCATTGCAGTAATCAACTGTTGATTGGTTTGAGACGAACTGATGCTCAACTCTAAAAGGAATAAAAATAAGACTTAAAGACTAAACAACTCAAAATGACTTGGAATCCACTCTATGCCAGGTAAATTTCTCAAAGAATTCAAAATTATTATTTTGCCAAAAATTCATGATTTTAATATAAACAGGGGTGCAGTGCAAGTAAGTAATTTTTCTTTTATTGTTAAAAAAATGGCTTATAAATAAATGAAAAGTTTGTTTACTTGATGATTTTTAAAAATCATTATTTCTTAATTTAATTATTAAACTCATTTAATTAAACAATAAATGAGAATTAGAAAATATCCATCTGAAGTAGCCCTGCATCTTTCTAAGATGTTAATATATTCATAGACATGTATAGAAAGTTTGAAAATAAATTTCAAATTATCACTTTTTTTACGATGTAAATATCTGAGTCTAAGAATGATGTAGTTTCAATCTTTGAGGAAATTTATAACAGAAAAATTTCTCTTTTAATTTTTCTCTTTCAAAGATATTGATTATGCATAGTTGTACATTTATTAACGCGTAAAAATGTATCTAACTGTTTGCAAAAATAGTTTATTTTTTACAGAACTATTCCTGAACTCAGTATACCTCCATATAAAAAGGTAGATTTTTTCACTATCAGTACCGGGTTTATATTTTCTTGAAAAATAGTTCACGTCCCCTTCCCTTCCTTTTTAATAAAATTTTATCTTTTATCGATATTAGGTATGTTTGGCGCGGAGCGCCTACAAATATTTTTGGTTTTATTCGCTCAATAAAGAAAAATCAATGAATTTAGGGTAACAGATAATAAAAAGGGTAGAAAAACTTGCCAATTCATGTCGAACTTTCTCCCCCCAGAAAATATGCATCTTTGAATACAAAAATTTTTACAAATTAGATTTTTGCTATTAACTAGTCTAATGATATTTATAGTTCAAATCGATATACAAGTATTGGATTTTTTCTGACTGCTCGTTTCTTGGATTTTATTGAATACATTTGTTTGCCTTTCTGTTCTTTTCAGTTTTGATCTCTTTTTAACCTCTTGACTGACTTGAGTAACTTTTCCAAAGCAAATTTTATTGCCACAAACTCTGATTTCTTAATCCCTTTATCTCTACAACCCAATGTTGTAGACCTTAGATATTTCAAACTATGAATTCTGATGGATTAAATAATCAAAATTTGAAATACCAAAGGCTTACGCCATCTTGTTTTAGAGATATAGTTATTAGAAAATTGGAATTTGTGGCAAAGACTCAAATCCTTTGATTAAGAAGTCTTACTATTACCATTTCACTGTATAGTAGTTTACTTTATTTTTTATAAGTAATATTTATTCGAACAATATCACTGAAGTAGGAATCATAAAACTTTAAAATAAGAAGACGACAGATAAGCAATTCCGTGTTTTATGTTCATTGGACTATTTACAATCATAACTTGCAGTGTTAAACACTTACAGTCATTTTCCTGTTTCACAGTTTTATGTTTCCCACTGGATCATCATAGGCAATGCTTTGATGATTGATGAATCCTAAAGATCAATAAATACCAACTTAAAAAATGTATTATAAACATTCTTCTTTTAGCAACTAAAGGTTTGCTTGACCGAGATATTGACGGTTTCCCAGTTTTGGTTCAATATCGCTGGTCCTCATAATAGTCAGGTTATATATAATTGAAACAAAGCTATGTTAAGAATTGAGATAGCAATATGTAAGGACTTTAAATTCAGTAATAAATGGACAGAGAAAGAAACTGATTATTCGCCACCAACTAGACCAGGGAGTAAAGAATAGAAGGGAGATATAACTGACGCGGTTCGCCCTACCATATGCTTATACATGCTTTGCATACGGGTACTCCATTTGTATATGAAATATTCAGAAAAGGTTATTGTATACGGGGTAATTGTTCATCAGAAAAATATTTCTTATTCAAATGGAGTACCAGTCTGCAAAGCATGTATAATCATATGGTAGGGCGAACCGCGTCAGTTATATCTCCCTTCTATTCCTTACTCCCCGAACTAGACTCAAAATTTCTTAATCCTTATATATTTTCAATCCGAAGTCAAAGTCATCTTTTACTTCAAACAATGGATTCTACTATTTTAAGTAGTTAGAGTTTGAAATATTTTACATTATCAGGTTGCAAAGATATAGGGATTATAAAATTATAGTCTAAGGCAAGAAATCACGAATCATTTCTTTTCAACCCATTTTTTTTTAAAAACAAAATTTTTCGATCCCAATATCTTTGCAACTTGATTGTTGAAACATCTGATGTTTTAAACTAAGAGTTTTTAATGAGCAGAATATGAAGTGTGAATTGTCAAAAGTTTACGGCATCGGATTGCAAAGAAGGATTAGAAAATTACAGTCTGAGGAGAGTGACAGTCCTTAAACTAAAGCCTGATATTTTAAATATAATTTTTTCCAGAAAACGAACTCATTATATTTTTTCGCAACCTGATAGCGTAAATCCAAGATATTTCAAACAAAGAATTATAAAATCAGAGTTTGTTGCAAGAACTGAGTTCCTTTGTTTCTAGGCTGTTGAAGTGTTGCATCAAGAAATGAAAGAATTCTACAGACTTAGATTTAATGATTATAGAATACACAATGTTTCTGAGGTGAAAAGCAAGGTTTTTTTAAATTTTCATAGTCGCAAATATACATTTTAAAATCCTACTTTTATAGTTAAAACTAGAGTTTCTGTTCTTCTGACGGGACTAGAAGGTGAATCTCAGAATGTACATCCGCATCTGTGAATTAATTTTATTCCTATTCGATATCTCGTGATATTCATACCCTATAAGGGCTACGGGGATATGGATAACTGTCGAGGGATCCAGCATTTTTCCTAAACTTCTAATCTTGAGGACCAATGTATTGGCGGATTTGAATTAATATTTTTAATTAACTAGATTGCTCCTGGTTTACCTGTTGCTGCTGTCTACCCAGGGCTTGGGTCAGGTTTGTAGAATTTTTATTTAGATATTAATAAAATTGTATCCTGTAAGGTCAAATTCATAATGCAAGACCTTCTTTGACCTTCAACTATCCAAAGAAGTTAAGTCTTTGCCACAAATTCTGAATTTCTAATTCATATATCTGTGCAACCTGAGGTCGAACTAAAAGAATTTTAGCTGCGGCTCAAATATGGTTGGTTCCACTTAAAATTTTATACAATGTTTCAAGATAAAAGCCGGTGCTAAATTGAAACCGGATTTTAGTTGATTTAAGATGCGGCACAAATTCATGAAATTCGGACTACGATCGATATAAACCTTTTATATTTCAAAGTATTAATTCTGTTATCAATATAAATAATCTCTGTTTGTCTGTCTGACGGTTTGATTATTTGTCCGATCATAAATCATTAACGCCTGGACCGATTTGCCTCAATTTTTATTGAGGAACTCGTAAATGACGACTTGTATAGCTTGGTTTTGAGATTCTAAGTTCGACTTTTATCGGGAAAAATAGCCAAAATCGTAGTTTACGACAAACCGCGGGTAAACAGTCGGAATAGCTATGACTACCCTAGGCAACGCTCGGGTTTCAAGCTAGCATCAGATAATAAAGTTTTGAATATTAAAGCTTTTACACTATCAGGATGAAAAGAAGAGAGAAGAAAGTGACAAAGACCCTGTTCCTTTAGATTTTTAAAATTTATCTTGGTTTAGATGATCTGAATAGGGGCCTGGTAAAGAATGTGGACATACAGAACAAGGAAGCGACCATCTTCTTCTGCGATTTCGGATCTGAAATAAATATTCAGGTTTTTTTTTTAAATTTGAACTTTTTTACATTTGCATATTTGCTTTGTCTGTTTGATAAATGAATTGTTAGCTAAAAAATTATCAAAACAGCTGGACTGACTAGTCAAGCAAATGTTAAGAACTGATCGAAAAAACGTGCGAGATCCAACATGAACCCTTGAGTCTAATAAAAGAATTGAGTTTCTGCCACAAATTTTAATTTTCAAACCCCTATATCTTTGCAACCTGACTGTGTAAACCTTCGATATTTCTAACTTAGATTATTTGATCTCGCAGAAGGCCTACAACGTTAGGTCGCAAAGATATAGGGATTGGAAAATCACAGTTTTTGGCAAGAACTCAATTCCTTTAAAAATGTCCTGAAAAGAACGGTTCTTGTAAATTTTGAAAATCTTATTAATATAACAGGAAAATCTCCTAGATTATCTAATGCTATTAGTTTTATACGTTGGTTTTCTTACCAGTTATCATTGGTATTCAAAAATTTATATCCCCCTTCCTCCCTCCTCACTCTTTGAAAATCGAGGGGGAAAAAACGGCGAAAATCGAATTTCCTTATTGAAATGAAAAAAATACTACATTAAAAGGTATATTTGTACATGTTGAGCCAATAATTGTTGATGTTCAGACTAAATGTAATATTTAAGGTCTAGTCAATGAACAAATTCACCCAAACAAATTGATAAAAGCCTATTTTGTTTAATGTTAATAATTCATAACAAATTAATCCCACATGTTTGATTGGGCTTATTTTGATAAAACGCAAGATTTGTTCTATTTATATTTAAAACCTTGTAAAATGTGAAATCAAGAAATGTTTCTATAAATATCTTGAAATTTCAAGAGGTAAATGCTATAAACAGCCAATTTTGGAGCTGGCCTAATATATCAAATAAAAAATATTTATTAAAAAACCTCCACTAAACCTTTCATTAACTCTTTCTATTTTCTCGGACTATACATCATATTATTTGAAAATATAGTAACAAGTAAGTAATACATGTTTAAGAATAGTTGAATTATCTGCTTATAATGTTTTTGTTTTGTTTTTGTACATAAATGAGTTGAGTCTCTGCAACAAACAGTAACAATTTTTCGACTCCCTATATCCTTGCAACCTGATGTTGTAAACTTCTTATGTTTCCAACTTGGATTTAACAAAATTCATAGTTTGAAAAATCTAAGTTGGTACAACATTGGGTTACAAAGATTAAAAAATCAGAGTTTGTGACAAAGGCTCAATTTCTTTGTATAAGATCAGTATACGCTTCACTGCACTGCAAACAAGAATATTATATTTTTTCCAACCATTTTTAAGTAATTACAAAACGTGGTTCAAATTATTTTTAAGGTTTCCAACCTTCTGTATCTTGGATCTGAGTTCTCAGCCCTGGAGCAGCAAGCTGTTCTTGGTAGAATATGGGGACTAGGTGTGTTAAGATTAACTATTTTTATTATTTGTTTGTAGTTAAGCTAATCTTGGTTAAGATTAACTTTTTTTTTATTTGTTTGCAGTTAGGCTGTTCTTAAATTTCCTTTACATTTTAAAAAATTCATGAAAGTACAGAACTTTTTGGTCAAAGGAATTAAGTCGTTGCTAAAAAAAACTCAAATTTTGCAATCCCTATATCTTTGTAACCTTATGGTGAAAACATTTGACATTTCAAACTTAGATTATTTGATCATAGAATTCATAGTTTGAAATATATACGGTCTACGCTTTTGGGTTGCAAAGATATAAAGATTAGAAAATCAGAACTCTTTTATTTTGCATTCTAAAGAAAGCTTGATGAAACTCTCATTGTTTTTGTTTTTCAACCAGTACCAATATTTTTTTTCTAATGAATAAGCCCTTTGGTAATATTTTGTAGTCATATATTTGTAAATATGTCATTATTCTTCTAAATTTACTTATAACGACATTTAAGGACAAAGTATAGTTCTTCAAACTATTATATTTAAACAAATATTTGATTAATACTAGATCAAGAGTTTGGGAACGACGAAGGTTTTAACTACCTTGTCAAGAAGGCGCAGAATAATAAAAACCTTTTTAGTGCAACTATCAAGGTAAAAAAGACTGGAAAACAATTTTATCTTTTTTAAGAGGTTCTTTAAAACCAATTTCTATTCTCTAGGGCTGGATTGAACCCCTCCCGCAACCCTTTCCTCTTCCACTTGTTTTAGTAAACAATGATACAGAAAGAACAGTAAGCAAGGTAAGCTAACTTCTTATGGATGGGGGGGGGGGGGGAACCCCCAGACGTCATGAGCCTTCGCCATACAGACACGAGCCTCTCATATTTCTAGGCAGACCGAGCACCAGCCATGTAGTAAAAGTCTCCGCTATGCAGCAAACGAGCCTCCGCTATACAGCACAGCTTTCGCATTACTCTCGGTTTTTACATAGATTTTTTTCTTGTTTTTTTTAAACATGTGCACAAGAATTTTACTTAAGATTATTGTTTCTTTTATTGTCATAATTTATAACTTTTATTGACTCTTAAAGTGGGCTATAAAAATTATGTTTAACACATTTCTTCCTCAGTAAAAAGGCTATCAGGCAATTCATTTATGAATTGAACTTAGTTTACTTTGATTTAATCTTAGATTTAAGCAATATCTTTTTTTGGAAATTTTCTAAATATGATAAAAATTTTAAAAAAGGTATTGTATAAATCAAAAATTATTAAATATCAATTAAATTACTATAAGAATTTTTTCCTTTTTGCGTAGAAAAATGTTTCAAGTTTCGTAAACCACTTTACTAGTCATAATTAGTCACAATTTAAAATAATTGATTAATACTTTTGATCTTTGTTAAACTTTTATATGCCACCATTTCGAGAAAAATACAAAAAAAAATTTACTGCAAGTATAAATAAAGAGTTATAAGGAAACTATTCTGCATGGCGGAGGCTCGGTCTGCCTAGCAAATCTTTGAGGCTTGTGTATGCATAGCGGAGGCTCATGTCGTCCGGGGGTCCCCTCTCTCAGTTGACATCCTTCTCCCTCCAATTTACTATAATACATTATTACATTAATACATTAATACATTAATACATTAATACATTAATACATTAATACATTAATACATTAATACATTAATACATTAATACATTAATACATTATTACATTAATACATTAATACATTAATACATTAATACATTAATACATTAATACAATAATACATTCAGAATAGTAAGGAAGATACTGTATTCTAGTACACAATAGAACAGTAAGTAAGATACTGTATCTTATTAAACATTAGAACAGTAAGTTAGGTACTGTATTCTAGTAGCAATAGAACAGTAAGTAAGGTACTGTATTCTAGTAAACAATAGAACAGTAAATAAGGTACTGTATTCTAGTAAACAAACAGTAGAACAGTAAGTAAGGTACTGTATTCTAGTAAACAATAGAACAGTAAGTAAGATACTGTATTCTAGTAAACAATATAACAGTAAGTAAGGTACTGTATCCTAGTCAACAATACAACAGTAAGTAAGGTACTGTGTTCTAGTTAACAATAGAACAGTAAGTAAGGTACTGTATCCTAGTCAACAATAGAACAGTAAGTAAGGTACTGTGTTCTAGTAAACAATAGAACAGTAAGTAAAGTACTGTATCCTAGTCAACAATAGAACAGTAAGTAAGGTACTGTATTCTAGTAAACAATAGAACAGTAAGTAAGGTACTGTATTCAACAATACAACAGTAAGTAAGGTACTGTGTTCTAGTTAACAATAGAACAGTAAGTAAGGTACTGTATTCAAGTAAACAATAGAACAGTGAGCAAGGTACTGTATTCTAGTAAACAATAGAACAGTAAGTAAGGTACTGTATTCTATTAAACAATAGAACAGTAAGTAAGATACTGTATTCTTGTAAACAATAGAACAGTGAGTAAGGTACGTATTCTAGTATGAAACATTATTATTATTATATATATCAAGTCCCAAATACTAGATCCATAAAAACTACTACAGTAAATATTATACAGTTTCAAAATAACATCAGCACTGTTAAAATAAAATTCTTGGTTAAGGGAATCAATTTTTGAAATGAAAATAGCTCGTTTTTTTATTGCAATCTATGGTCATTGAATTATCACTTTGCGGAACATTTCCTAAATGTTTTAAGTCGTTAACAAATGGTAAAGGTAATTCATTCAATAAAATTGGGGTTATTACACTATAATTAATCCTTTCTTTAGAAAAAATAAGGCATCTAGTTTTACATTTTTCGATTCGAATATTTGTACTAAATTTCAGTTTAGTAGCTTTGGCAAAATTTTCACAAATTTTCACCATTTCCTGAAGACCTGTTCTGCTAGGAGAAAGCAGAATAATATTATCTACATATAGAAAAAGTATGTATGGTTTAAGCAAGATAACGAAACACCTTAATAATGTTTCAGATTACAGTTACACAAATACGACAAGTGACTGTAGATTTTAAATATTTTAGCTTAATTATTATTATTTTTACTTATTTTTACTTATTAGAACTGATTTCAGCAACTTGTAAAGCGAGGTCTGGCAAAGTTCTGTGAAGATGAACAGAATGAAACCAATGCTGCCGACAATGATGTTCTGTCTGATCTCATTTTTGAAAAGGAACAAAAAATCAAACCAAGTTTTTATTATGATACAAGTAGAACATCACATCTTAAAGTGACTGTAGAATGCAGATGTAATATCAAATGACCCTCCATGTATAAAGTGGCTTGTCCGATTCGCAATGTATTCCCTGAAAGTTTTGTCTCTTCAAACATAAACTGATATTTATGTTGACAATTTGGAAAACTGATTATTTTAAATTTTGGTTTTTCTACAAAAGTGACGTGCGTATTTCTTCTGCTGTAAAACACATTACAGGAATTATCAGAATTTAACACAGCAAGAGCAAGAAATTATTTTATAGATTATTGATCAGATAAAGGTTTCAAGGGTATTGCTGTTGATCAGACATCTTCCTCTGTAAAAGAAGAGTAACTTGAAATTTCAACATCCCTTTAATTTTAATTTTCTTTCTTACAAAATGTTTTTCCTTTTTATTTATTTATTTTTTGAATGATCAGTCTTTTTACTTGTTTTATTTTGTTTAACCAGTTGTTTATAATTGAGAAAGTTCTCTCTGTACTGAAGGAAGTCAATGGTCCCGAGTACGATCGCTTGAAAAGGTTTTAATACAACTTTTCCATTAAAAAAAAAGGTGAATTTCCTGTTTTTAATAATTTAATGTTTAGGTTCTTTCAGAATCAGTTGGATCAGACAGAACAGAAACTTTATGAGGTATTTTAAAGACAGTTTACAATACTTAAGTGCATAGGTTCCAGAATCAGTATTTTGTAAATCGAGTTTCGTCACAAAAAAAACAATTGTGGTAGGGTTAAGATTTAAGACATGCAGCTATCAATTAGGACCGAGGGCTGTGATTAGGATAGTTGAAGTCCCTTCATTCTTTCGGGACGTAACCTTTTAAAGATACTCAGGAACTAACGGGTCATGTTGTATTTAATATGTTATATATATATCACTGCAAACTCCGGTTCAAAGTACCGGTCCCACTTTCAAGCAGCTACATACAGAATATTTAAGCCAAAACGGGACCGTACACCAAATGAAGCATAACCTTCTAGTGAAATTTATGTGATATATGGCTGACCCAATCTTCTGTTGGAATTAAACTGACTGGAGCATTTAAAATATACTTTCAGGGATTCTTAGGAAATAGTACAGAATGATCCAATGTAAGTAAATTATTAGATAAATTGTTTTACTTTTAATTTACTTAATTTTAATTTAAGATTGGGTCAGACCCATGAATTATTTTGTCTTGGAAAATATATATATTTAAACAGATGCTAGACTGTTTGAACTACTCTCGTTTGAACTATTGTTCATTTGAACTATTTTCGTTTGACCACATGAGTAGTTAAAACCAACAATACTCAAACGAGTTTGTTTTATGCTCATTTGAACTATATTTTTGTTCATTTGAAGTACTGTTCACTAATGAATTATTAACATTATAGTTTGCAAATAACCTTTAAAAATAGTTCAAATAACCTTTAAAAAGAAGTTTAAATGAACAAATAAGTAGTTCAAATGAACAAAAAAATGGTTCAAATGTACAGAAATAGTTTAAATGTACAGAAATAGTTCAAATGTACAAAAATAGTTCAAATGAACAAAAAATAGTTAAAATAAACAAAAAATAGTTCAAATGAAAAAAAAATGTTCAAATGATTAAAAAAATATCTTGGTCATGTGGCCGCAGCGCCCAGCCCACTAGCCTGCCCTTGCCGCGGCGACCGGCTCCCTTGCCTGTCCTAGCCGCAGAGCTCGGCCCCATAGCCTGTCCTAGCCGCAGCGCTCGGCACAGAAATTGTCATAACCTACCTAACCCTGAAATAATACAAAATAAATATTTTTAGTTAATTTGAATAATTTTTTTGTTTATTTGAACTATTTTTTTGTTTATTTGAACTATTTTTTTGTTCATTTGAACTACTTTTTTTGTTTAATTGAACCATTTTTTGGTTGATCTGAACTATTTCTATTTTAATTTGAACTATTTTTTGTCAATTTATCAATTTAATTGTATGGCCTAACTTCATGAATTGTAACAAAACTGAAAAATTAAAATTAAATTATTTTTTTTTCAAAATTATTGGATTTTTTTCTTCCACGGGCAACGCCGGGCCCTTCAGCTTGTATATTTATATATATATATATATATATATATGATAGTTTTTTTATTTATATGAATTTTTTCTTTGATAACAGGTTGTGTCCCGCTCGACACAAGAAGTTAAAGCTGGGTATTTATCTCATCCATCCCTTATATCCGGCAACCTTGTGCCTCCAATACAAGATGAAGATGCATTGAAGCCTCCAGTTCTTGATTCTTCAGTCAGACTGGAGAGTCCTGGACACGGAAAGGATAAAGCTATCACTAACCCTCGCTCAGTGCTGCACCATATGTTTGAAGTTTTGCGACCTTTGAACTCACAGGATTTGTCAGAAGAGCTCTACAACACAGGGAAACAATTGACATGCGAAAATAAGATAAAACCGGAAAGGACTAAGGAAAAGAAAGTCCATGGAAAAAGACCAAAGAATAGAGAAGGGAGAGATGAAAAGGAAAAGAATGGATGCAAGTTAGTTGGAAAGACTGAAACCGACGATCATAGTCTTAAGATAAACCAAGACGAGCATTCGTCCTGCCCTGAGAAATATGACAACTCGTATGATACCTTTGAACCAGAAGACAGGGATTATCTTAACAATCAGGAAATATTTTACACCAAACAGGACTCAGGGTGTTTTATCAAGGACCCTGATTCTATAAATATCAAGGACTTCAATTCTAGTATCAAGGACTACAACACTAAAATCAATGACTTAAATACTAATGACGCCAAGTCTAATATCAAAGACTCCAAGTCTAATATCAAGGACTCCAAGTCTACCATTACACAACAGAATGTTCTCTCTGATACTTTAGAAGAACACATTACGGCCAAGATACAAGTTTTGCCATCCTGCGTTATGATCTAGATGACTTTATGTATATTGAATGCAAATAAAATCTATTTTTTTACACTAAGTTAAATGTTTTTTTTTTCAATCTAATATGTTATAACACTATTAAATACAGAATAAAAAAGTTTCTTTCCATCATGATTTCTAGAAAAAATTCCAAATTTGATATATTTCAAAACCGTTCCGCCTCTTCATAAAGGCGTTTCCGTGGTAATTCTAGCTTATTTTAGCCTTCAGGTAAATTTGAGTTGTTAAAATTGTCAAAAGTTGATTGGTTTCTGCTTTGAAATTACCTCATTAATCAAATAATACGAAATATCAGTTCTTTATTTTATTTTTTCTGTTTGATTTGGTAACTTTTCTCTTTTCCATATTTTTTTTATATAAACTAATTAATACTTCTTTGTCAGTTCTTACAGATTTTTCCTCATCAAGATGAAACTACCACGTTCGTGTAATAACTAAGTCTCGATAAACTAACTTTCAAAATAATTTAGTACACATAATCTTATCGAAGTGTATCATAAGGGGCGTACGGGGAGGTGAGGACGAAAACCCTCTCCCTAGAAAGGTTCCCACTAAGCCAGGGGCGTACGGAGGGGGAGGGGGTGGGGGGCTCG